GTAGGTGCCACTTAGAAGTCAGTGTGCTCACAATCAATACTATTAGTCTCTGTCCCTCCATTTAACACAGAGTAAGCACCTTGTTTGTTGAGGTCCACAGTCCCTCGGGGATCATCCAGGGGCCTTCTTTTACAAAGGACAGTTCTTTATTTTCCAGACGCATGTCCTCGCTTTTGAAGGCATTGTCTGCCTCAATCATTGTCCACCCCAAGACTAGTTTAAAGGTGGCACACCACCAGAAGGCAGATCTGGGCCTTGCAGTTGCCCGTCAACCACACCTGGACAGCAGACTGAATAGGCAAGTCCGCAGATAGCTGGTTATAATCCTTCATACTATGGAGAGGTCCTTTCTTGCCATCACAGAATTATTGCTTGATTGGCACCGGTGGACTTGGGCAAATCAGTGTGTATCAACCCTCAGTGTGTAATAATAATATGTAAAATCAGTGTCAACTAGTGACTTGGAGCTCAGCAAAGCTGAGTTTGACTCTGGATTGAGCTTGAAACTTTAAGTGTCCATGGTGCTGAGCCATATGCTCAAAACAGGTTCCAGTCCATGAACAGCTTCTTAAAAGTTCCAAGTCAAGTCCCAAGAGGACACACACCTGGGCTAACATTAGAGCCGCCGTCAGAGTTTTTGAAGGGATCTGAGTCAAACTTTGAATGCCAAACTGTTCAGTTTTGCCACCAGCTGAAAAGTTTCTTCATGTTCACAACTCACCTGTTTTGAATTGCTGGCCCGTTAAATGCTAAAGACCTTATTGTAGATTTTCTCTCTGGTCCATCTAGCTAAGCATGGTTACCTGCTGTAACTATTGGGAGTTAGTTGGGAGGTGGTTGAGGCCCCATCGGTGGGGGTGTTCTAGAAACCCTAGATACCCCCTTCGGTGAGGGGGTCTAGATAGGCTGCACATGCGCATGGTGGGCATGTCGTGAGCGGAGCCGGATGGAGCCGGGGGTCAGACTAGATGGCCCAGGAGACCCTTCTGACTCACTGTTTCTATGTTAATGGTTCCTTCCTGGCACAAGATACCTGTGCAGTGTCATGGTTTGGCTGAAGGTCTTTCGAAGTCGCAAAGGGTGTGTTCAACCACTACAGCCCTTCCCTGTGAAAGATTGATTGTGTCACCTGCATAATTCCCTCTGTAGCTACAGTATATCCAGAACAAATGAAAAAGCTGAACTATACTTGACTTGCATCACTCCAACCTGCTTTACTTTCTTTTTCCTTCTTGTTGTCTGTTGTTTCTAGATGCATCATCCCATTCAGATGAAACCGGCAGATAGTGAAAAGTCCAACGGTAGGTTGTTGACCCATTTCATTCTTAAATGTCACCATTGCTTCTGGTTTGACAGAGAACAGAATGCCAGTTACACATTTGGTGTTGTTGCACTCTTGCTAGACCCGTCCAAGTCCAGGTGACAGGCCTGGGGAAAACATGGACCTTCTGCATTTCTCTTGCACGTGAAAGGCAGAAAGTTGCAGAGAAATGAATTTCTCCCCCTCTCAGGTGATGAATTGCATGCCGTGCCCATGCAGAACATCTTCCTGACATGGACTTTCAAGACAAATTTCATAAACTGGCTCTAGATAACCATCTGTTTTGAAAATGTGCTGGAAACAAGATGACCAATTAACCAGGGTCTTAATGTAATTGCTTCCGTTGACAAGGTTTGATATCAAAATTGTTCATCCCTTGAACAGAGCTGCAGAGAAACCTCACGGTCAAAGGCAGAGTCAGAACAGAATCCGATGAGATAACAGATGAAGTGTGGCAAAATCCAGGGGATGCTGGTGCCTCGCATGGCATTGGGGCTCCTTATCCATTTCAAGGAGTGTCCTTTCAAGGCCAAACCTTTGCATCTTCTGGTATGCTCAGAATTTCTGCTCTGTAACCAGCTAGTGACTAACCCCCTAGCAGCCTGCAGCATGGAGAGCCACTTCCATTTAACTCCTGCGACTCACCTCTTCCAAAGCTTATCTCAGCTCTCCACCACTTCACCAACACATAATGCTGCTTTGAAAGCCACTTGAGATCAAACCAATGAAGCAGCATGGATGGTTCGAAACCTGGGTGGGGGAGAAGGCACCTGCCTCCCGGTGGCGTCTTGTCGCAGCCTGGGAAGACTTTAGAGCAGAGGTGGGCAGGAAATCTTCCTCCAGAAGTTTTGGACTTTAACTCCCAGCATTCGTGTCCATTAGGAATGCAGCCCAGGAGAGTCTACTGCCTAAAGCAAAGGACAAGACGGTACCTTCCGTGTGCAGATGTTGCCGAGACTTCTAGTTAAAGGGTACCTGAGCAGCTGTTATGGAACGGCATCATCCACCACACCTGGGGCAGCAGGCTAGTTAGGGTGTCCAGAACAGGTGCTGTAGCATGCCCAGGTGGGGGGTTCAGGAAGTGTACCTGGAAAGCCGCCACTGTTGCTGCACCACAACCGTCAGATGCAGATGAAGTGGTTGTCTCACTCTGCCTAATGGAAGGTTGGTGCCGCTGCAGGAGTTCCCGGCTCTGAAGTCCAGAACATCTGGCTTACTATCTTCTGCGCATCCCTGCAGGAGGCCCCATTGGCTTCGCCCTGCCTGGCAAAGCACTGCTGTATTGGTAAAATATTGGTGGATGGGCAACCCCACTCACTTGATAGCCCGCTCCTGAACTCCCACCAGCGGAACTATGGGGAAATCCACCATGCTACCAAAACCAGCCATCCAAATAGTGGTGGGGGAGAGGATGGCCCAGCAAGGTGTGGCCAACCCAACCAGTGCAGAACTATCTGAGATGTTGCTATCTCATATTTCCTCCTACGGACTCATTTTGCCTTTGCTCTCTGGTCTGGATGCACTTGGGGTAGGCAATGGAGACAGGGACTTATTCCTCCAGACAGCAGTATTGATTTATAGGCATGTGACTTGCAGGACAAGTGGCAGACGTAAACAGGACTGAATTTTTCCAAGCAGGCCTCTGCAAGAAAAAAGAATAGCCAACTTGATGTGCTGGGTTTTCATCTAGCCACGCTTGGCCTCTTGATTCTTATAATTTGCTAAGAGACTTGTCAGAGAAATCTCCTGCCTTCTTAGATTGCAGGATCTTTGCTTTTCCCACCTGGCAGAAGGAACCATGGCTGTTTTCTTCCAACAGGCTCTTTGCTCCTCATTAATTAGTAATCGGGGCAGAAGCCATGCACTCTGAGATTTAAATGCCTGCAAATGTAAATGATGACTGGGCCACAAATATCTCCAAAGAGTTAGAGGGCTTTTCTTTTTCCTTTGTTCTTTTGTTTGTGTGCTCCACGGGTACAGTCAAGTTCAGAGGAAAACGAAAACATCCTTCTGGCAATTATGAAAAGTGTTTGATCAACAAAGAAAACAACAAGCCAAACGGGTCTGAATTTGGCTTTGCAGGCAGGGTGACACCAGGTGTGTCAGGCACTGCCTGTTAGTTGGCCACCCTGTTCTGCAGCGGAGGTCAAATGCTTGTCAAGCCTCCAGATGTGGGCCCGGTTGAGGAAACTGGGCAGAGTTGGCCTGGCCATTAGCAGAACAAGACAAGACCTGTGACAGCAGAACTTGGGCGGTGGAGTAGCCCTCCTCTTGGCCTCCTCAGTCATTGGAGAGAGTCCTGTGTGCTTCACTCCCTGCACCTGCGACCTCTAAACTAGCTTACTGCCTTTGGATGTGGGGAATGTCACCCCATAGCTAGTGTTAAAGGAAAGGTCAGCTGCCCAGGCAGCTCATCTGTGTGGAAGTAGGTGTCGTCATGGCAGCAAAAAATTGTAGGCTGGCCCTGCAGAGGGGAAGGGACCTCAGTGAGGGAAGATTGGCAGGCCTGCCCCTTCCACCTCCATGACAACCCCCCCCCCCCGGCCAGTGCTCCCCCCAACACACACACCAGCACACACACATGCACATGATCTGAGAGCACAACTAGGTAAGAAGGAGGGTAATGTGTCATCGGATTGATTTTTCCACTCCTATGTATTGTGTAGTCCACGCTTCTTCCAAGAAGCGGTTCGCCCCATCTTCATTTTATCCTCACAACAACCGTATGAGGTAGGTTACGTTCAGAGATCATGACTCACCTAAAGTCGCCCAAGGCCCGCAAGTTGCAGTGCTCAGTTGAGAGCCGAATCCTGCACTCCAGGCCCAAGCCCAAAAAGTCCAGGTCTGACCACTAAACCCCACTGGCCCCCATACTAAATGGCAGCCATGGGGCAGGCTATGGGGCTTGGTCTCTGTCTATGGCAGTGGGGAGGCATGTTAGCCCTTTAGACCTATGCAATTATTCTGACAAGTTCCGGCCATAAGTGCAGCCTGCTATTTTTCCCAAATGGGGAAACAAACAAGCATCCATTCACTGCCCAAGAAACCCACATTTCTTGGGAGGACACCACAGAAAACGGATGCCTCATCCCCATCGTTACCTCTCTAAACACCATCATGTCCGCTTGTGCCTTCAGTAAGCACAGCTAGCAACGCAAGTCCACTTGGGATCAACCCTGTGACTTTTTAGACTGAAAACAATCCAGCAGCTCTCAGCATTCCCCACACTGGTGTGGGAAATGCTGACAGTGGTAGGACTTCTTCCATCTCTGGACAGCATCCTTATTTATTTATTTATTCATACATTTATACCCCGCTTTTTTTCCATTTCACACACAACCCAGGAAGGGTGAAATAACTCCCCACCTCTCCATTTTATCCTCATAACGACCCTGGGAGATCGTTTAGGTTGAGAGTCAAGGACTAGTGCAAGGGAACCCCATGAGTTGCATGGCTCTTGAACCCAGAACTCCCAAGTCCAAGCCCAGCACAGTAATCGCTGCACCACATGCATGGAAGGAAGAACAACTTGGAGTTCCCAAACTCATGTGAGTTGCTGATGCAGGGAAAATACGAGGGTGACGCACTGGCAGGGAAGTCACCATTCACCAATACTTGCATCACAGAGTCCTTCCCCAAATCATTTTCTCTTTGTTGCTTTTATAGCCCAGCTTTCTCCTCTTGCAAAGACCCCAAAGCAGCTTTCCTCTTCATTGTAGGTCCACCCCAGTTCCCCTGTGAGGTGAGCTAGGCTCAGAATCGGTGCTGGCTCAAAGGCACCGAGTGAATTCTATGCCAAGTGGAAACTCAAATCGGGGCTCACAGTTCACAATCTAAGACTCTAGTCACCATCTCACAGTGCCTCAAATACATTTCCCCCACGCTTAGAATACATACTCTATCCTTCTATGAATGTTGTGAATATTATATTGGCTGTCTGAATGCGTCATCCTCAAAAATTATATTCCAATGCCTTTCTCCCCTTTTGGGGAGCTGCTTTGGGATCTTTGTAGTAAAACCAATATACTATGATATTTGGAATTTGGAATTAATATGTCTGTATTTGTTTTTATCTTAGGATCCTTAAGTTATTAGACAGATCTTTTAATCTATTTGTAAATGCATGCATCGCTGTTTGTACTCAGAAGGAAAGAGTTAACCAGTTTGTTTTAAAAGAAAAAAAAACATATTGGTGGGGGGGGGGAGAAGTGAAGGGGTGAGAAAGGAAGAAATTTTAAACTCTCTTTGTGAAAGTGCAAAAAAAAAAAACCAAAAACCCTAACATACAATCTGTCCATGTGACACCCAGATCGAATGCTGCCTGAATTAATTAGCAGCTTTTTCCCTATGTGTTAGTGCTAACATATGGCATTTAATTACTATTTCCAGTGCAGCACTTTGTTCCCTTAAAAATTTCAAAATCTTTTGTTCAGTCTTCCTGCAAAATCAGAGAATGACTCCATGGCAAAGTTCTATCCATCTTGTGTTTTTCTAGACGGATCCTAAACAACGATCTTTGCTATGTTTTGCTGAAACAAGCCATGGTTTGAAGTTGGCTTGTTTCAAATAAATCACAGTTAAGATTAGCCACAGTTTGTCAAGTTCAGATGAAACAAGCTTCAGCCAGAGGCAGTGTTAGGAACTGGCCCAGTAGAGCTGGAGCCCCTAATCTTTCATTTGGAGCCTCAGCTCTCCACTCTCTGGCCCACCACCCTTCTCTCCAAGGACATTTGCCGACAAAAGGGTACAGGGGCGCTGGGGCAGCCCTGTTGCTTCAGATCCCCCTGAATGAACTGGCTTTTGTGCACCTGCTGTTCTTTCCAAAATTTCTCTCCTATTTATGCCTCTAAAACCAGATGCCCCACTCTCCCTGTCTATCTATCACTTTTAGCGAATATGGGTGCACTTAGCACAACACAGAGAGAGACTTTAGAGCTAAATTAGTGCATGCACTTCAGTTATTAAAAATCCTGAGCCCCAGAGGTTTTTGGGACCTTGCACATCCTTGGCTGGAGTTCATAAAATGGAAACAAAACCTTCCAGACTCCTCCTGGTGGCCATGCCAGAAGAGGAAAAGATCGGGGGAGTCCATGAGCCACAAGACTCATTGCTATCATTATATGCAATTGTTTGTCATGGCTTGGGAATGCAGGATTTATCACAAAGGGTGTTCCTAGAAGGAGGGCTTCTAGTGCTAATAATCAGAAAGCATCGTCCTGCTCTTCCATCTCTTCAGCCTTAAGGAAAAAAGCAAGGTGGGAGAAGTGGAGGGAAAGCACGAGAGAGTTATGAATGCTGGAGGAATCTGCAGCGGACTCAGACAAGTTGCAATTTCTATGAATCCAATTTTTAAAGGGGTTGTGCGAATTCATAGAAACAGAGCAAGTCGGAAGGGGCCTCCCGGACCATCTAGTCTGACCCCCGGCTCCAGCCGGCTCCGCTTACAACATGCCTACAATGTTCATGTCCAGCCTATCCTTGAACACCCTCACTGATGGGGCCTCAATGACCTCCCGTGGAAGCCCATTCCACACCCTCGGGGTCCTAAC